TACTTTATCAGCCATACAGTTAGCAGAGGCATGTTTTCTGAATGATTTTCAGTTTATTTTGACGAACAGATTGACACAAGATGCTCTAGAAAATGTATTTTCTCAGATACGCAGAAAAGCTGGTTTGAGGCCAAGTGCTTCGCAAGCTGTGAAAGCATTAAAGCTTATCTGTTTATCTCAGTTTATATCTGACATTAAGAACTCCAGTTATGCTACTGATTCAGATATTTACTTATTAAACTATGCGAAAGATGAATTTGAATTTCTGAAGGAGAAAAAAGCTTTAGAGCCTGTTACCATACCAGAAGTTTCTGATGTATCTCTACAGAATCTCACCCTTAGTGAGGAAAATAACGTCTGTTATATTGCAGGAGCTGCAATAAATTCTGTTTTGAAAAATGCTTGTAATTCATGCTCACAATTTCTCTTAGTTTGTGAGCAAAATACTCCTTCCATTGATGAAAATAAGCAGTACATAATTAATTTTGCAAATTTAGGTGGGCTTAAATGTCCTTCTCCAGAAATTTTTAAATTGTGCCTTCTGTGTGAAAAAATAATTCAAAATTTTTTAGACGAAATAATACATGGAAATGTAACTATGGATGTGGAATTTGTTAATATGATTTGTAAGAAAGCAGGCGAGGTAAATATTCCCTCCTGTTGCAATATCAAAACAAAGATAATAAAATATTATTTGACTGCCCGTGGAAGTTGGTCCTCAAGAAGCTTCTTCAAAATAAAAGGCAGCAGCGGCAAAGTTTTGCATCTCCTGCTTTTAAAAGGAAGAAAGTAAACTAGAATCTAATCAAGAGTTTAAGAAGTTTTTGCTGTTCAGTTCTGTCTGTAAAAAAGTAGAGTAGTTGTCACTGAAAAATTGCTGTTTGTCTCTTCGAATAATAATTAGGCCCACCAACAGCTGAATGGTTAAAGTTACTGAATGCTGGGAGTTCCATCTTCTGTTCTATTTCCGAACAGGTTGCCTGCATGGTTGGTTTTTTTTTGTGGTTTTTCCCCATGTGTAATGTGAATACAAGCCAGTTCTCCTTAGAAAGTCCTCTACAATAGAAGATCTCGTAGTCAGCTAAATCGGATTTACTTTTGTGTGACCTTAAATGAGGCATCAATTGTGAATCTGTTTTGGCATGTTATTAGGAATTTTAAATGAAACATTTATTGCTGTTGTGAAAGAATGATCAACTGATGTTTACCTTACTAATCAATGTCTTATAGTATTGTAATGGCTTGCAGGATTTTTCATAATGGGATGTTGCATATGTTTTACTCTTTTTTTTTTACCAAATAAATAGAGTATGTTCCTAATCAGACATTTCTTCTTTTGTACCAGGGTTATATAGTATGATGTGATAATTTGGATTTGTTTATAGAATACATAACAGTATTTTTTTGACATTCTAATAGAACCAGTGTATTTTATTTATTTACTTATTGCTTTAAAACAGATTTTGAATCAAGGCTTACTTCCTATCCCCTTTGGGTATGCACATAAAACATGTTTAAGCTATATTTATAATGAGATACAGTGGATGGACAAAAATATGGAAACACCTTGTGAAATGCATGTTTGAAAAGAAAGATTGATTTTAATGAAATGTAGGTGGCGCTGGCGTTTTTGACTACTGACGCCACCTATACAACTTCGTAAATGTGCTAAACAGTTCAGTTGTTGTCGGAGTACTGTTATGTGAGGTTGTCATTGCATTATGTCAGAGTTAACAGACTTCGAACGTGGGCAAATTGTTGGAGCACGTATGGTAGGTGCTTCTGTAAGCAAGGTAGCCGAGGTGTTTAGTGTTTCAAGAGGTACTGTATCGAAGATTTATTCCGTATATTTGAAAAGCGGAAAAACATCATCTGCTAAATCACAGGGCGGACGAAGGTGTGTCCTGAGTGATCGTGACAGACGATCATTAAGAGCAATTGTGACGAAAAATAAGAAGACCACAGCTGCAAAAGTTACTGCTGAAATGAATGTTGTGTTACCGAACCCTGTGAGTACCAAAACAATTAGAAGGGAGCTTCATAAACAGGGAATTGCTGGCCGTGCTGCAATTGAGAAGCCACTCATCTGTGACGCTAATGCCCGTTACAGGAAAAGGTGGTGTTTAAATCATAAAGCCTGGACTATAGAGCAGTGGAAGCGAATAATATGGTCTGACGAGTCTTCTTTCACATTGTTTCCCACTTCTAGCCGAGTTTACGTCTGGAGAACGCCATCTCAAGCCTATAATACAGACTGTTTGTTGCCAAGAGTGAAACATGGCGGGGGTTCTGTTCTGGTTTGGGCAGCCATATCGTGGTTCTCTGCTAGCCCCAAATGAACTGTGTCAGGGACATGGTTTTTTGCATTTATTCAAACATCTCCGCATATAAATGAGAATTAATTATATTATATTAGTTTTAAAAGTAAAACTAATATAATATCATTCTATATAAAGCTGTTTGATGTATAATGGAAAAAATTCAATTACTGCAGTATGTTTTAATAAAATTTGAATATAATAGACTGAATTGCACTACATTAGACCAAAAAGCAAAACATTTTTATTTATTTATCTTTATTTTCACTATATGTGTTTGTCATATGTTTGTTACTAGAGGACTTATTTTATAGATTTGAAGCTAAATAATATTTTTATGTTTTTTACTTATGCAAATTAATTAATAAAAGAACTGTGATTTAAGTATTGTCTTTGCTGTGATATAGATTGAATCTTATTATGTTATGGAATTATCATTTAAATATTCAGATACGGTGTAATATTAAGAGCATATGTATGTAAGTATAATTTTTCCAAGTATAATAAAAAGTAACCATCAACAACAAATAAACTTATAAGTAAATAGTATCTGTAAATTCTGTATGTAAAGGTATTATTTTTATTTTTATTTATTTGTGTGTGTATTATTTTAATATTGTTTATAGCTAAATAAAGAAAAAAAAAAAAAAATTAATGGAATTTTTTACTCTATTAAATCTATGAATCCCACAGTCATCTGAGCATTGAAGTAATTTTTATAGCATTCTGCACTTCATTCTAAAAGCGTTATAATTTAAAGGTGTATATCTTGAATCAGTATTTAAAATCATAAAGTGTTTAGCAGCTTTTTCTGGAAACACACACAAAATAACATTTTTAACAAATTTGCTACAGTAATAGACGCTTGATTCCATGTGAGCAAAATTCAAATAACATATTAAAAATAAAAAACAAAAATTAAAGATTAAACCTTATCCTAAATTAATGGAGGTTGAGGGATTTCCCTCAACCATATTAAGAATGTGGTTGAGGGAAAGCTCTTGTCAAAAATACATTTTGAGATAAATAACATTATGCGTGTATTTAAAAGAAAAAATTTGAAAATTCAATAAAGGAATTCAAAAAAAAAGCATAAAAATACAAATTTGGCAATTGTATTAATACTAAAAATACAATTTGAAATATGATATGTGAAAATGTTTTAGAAACTTTTAAAATAACTTGAATCATACGAGAAATTTGGCAATTTAAAAAAAAAAAAAAAATACGAGAAAGAATCTGTACTGCAGACAAAAGAAGGGGGAAAAGCCACACATCTTTATAGGAGTGCAGAAAAAAGCTGAAATTCGGATTCTCTAGAATGTTAAATATAAATTTAGCGGACAGCGCTAAAGAGCCAAAGTTGCCGCTCCACACCTAAATTGCAACCCTAAAGCTTAGATTCAAAATGGCTGACGAGTCAGCCTGTATCTCTAGTAGCTCTAGTTTACCATAATGAGCTGTGTCTTCTCTTTTTGGCGTTAAAGCTGTTCTCCGAACCTTATCCGAAATCTGTAATATAACATATAAAACATGAGTAATGTAAAAATTCTGAAATATGAAAAATAAAGCACATGAGAGCTATCTGTCTAAGAAAAGGCATACAAAGAAAACATGCCTATTCGCCCGGTATTGAAATAAGGTTAACTAGATTTTTGTTTGAACCCAAGTCGAACCAACACCAACTCTATTTTTACACCGTAGTAGAGTTGGTATTGTTGATCGAACCCTCAGTATTCACTGGTCTTTACCATTTAGCTATGGTGAAACTGTACATTTATAATAGCGAAAGGAGCGTAAAACGCTTTAAAAGATAATTTAGAGTTTTTAAAATATGCTATTAATCTCACGGTTCTTTTTTTTTCCTTTTTAATTTTGTTCTCTGTGATTTTCTGATCGGTAATAAACTCAACTTTTTTCACAAACGGATTAATAGTTGATGTGCATATTACCTGTATTTATATGTAATATCAAGAATATTTAACTGTCTCATATGTATGTTTTAACAGAGGTAAGAATCAAAATCAATATATTTTTCTTTCCACTTAAAAAAAAAAAAAAAAAAAAAAAAAAAAAAAAAAAATAGAGTTTAATTTAAAATTACTATCAAGTTCAGCCAAATATCTCCATGGGCGTTAATAGTTAATTATGTATGGATTAGTAATTAGGTACTTATGGGGAAAAAATATGTATTTAACTATTAGCAATTATGAATTTAAACTCTTGCTCATTTAATTATTCAGCACATTCAGTTATATTTCTCATAATTCGAAACTTTTATCATGTTATTCGATGAGGGGTAGGGCTATGGCGCCCAGGCACCCTGGTGGTTAAGCACCGCAGTTCAACATCCTCTTAGGGCTTAGGCTTCATGTATATCTGACAAACTCCTTCTACTGAGTCTTTGATAGTATTTTTCAGCAGTAATTTTTTATGACAGTTTTTTATTTTTCCTAGTTAGAATGTTTATAATATACTGCAAAATTTCACTTTGAATAATTTAAGTCAATCAAACATATTCTCCTTCTCTTTTAATTATAAAAGTGCAAGTTAGAAACAAATTCAAAGACGGTTTTCTGTGTACCTTACATATCAATTTAAATAGTTTGTTAGCCACGTGATAAGAAATAATTCACTGTAACTGCAACCATAAATTGTGCAGTTCCAGGCGAAGCGGATTTGGCGCCATTCACCCGTTTTCTGGATTGAGAGAAGGTGTGTGCTTAGTGTCTCGAATTCCGATTTTTTTCAAAAATGTCTGGCCGAGGAAAAGGTGGCAAAGCTAAGGGAAAAAGCAAGACCAGATCTAGCAGAGCTGGACTTCAATTTCCTGTGGGTAGAATTCATAGACTTCTTCGAAAAGGAAATTATGCTGAAAGAGTAGGTGCCGGAGCTCCCGTGTATCTAGCTGCTGTGTTAGAATACTTGGCCGCTGAGGTGTTGGAATTGGCGGGAAATGCCGCTCGTGACAACAAGAAGACACGTATTATTCCACGACATTTACAGCTAGCCATTCGAAATGACGAAGAATTGAACAAACTGCTTTCTGGAGTTACCATTGCTCAAGGCGGTGTGCTTCCTAACATTCAAGCTGTTCTACTTCCGAAGAAAACAGGCACAGGTCCCTCAACTGGCGGTAAAGCATCTAAGAAAGGAGGACCTAGCCAAGAGTTCTAGACGCCATTTAAATCGAGCGTTGGTTTCCAACGGTCATCGAAATACCTGAACTTCATAAAATTTTTCATGCATCTTGATTCTGAACTATTCATCTGCCTTCTTATGTTTCCATATCATAAACCAGTATTCTAAAATTTTTTAAGTGTGCGCAAAATTTCTAATAAATTTACAAAATTGTAAAAAATGTGTTTTTGTTCTATAGTTGAAACTGAACTTTTTTATTAGGCCTAGAAATAATAGCATATCTAAATAGTTATCCCGAATTATAATTTTTATTTTAGGATCCATTTTATTTTGATATTTTATGTTCTACTATTAAGATGCGGTTTTCAAAGTTGAATACGTTCATTGGATACTAATACTAGATAGGAGATGTTTGAAATAAATTCGTTTTACAGAAATAATGTACTTAATTTAGTTTCATGTACTTGTCTTCAAAACGATAAAAACTAAATGCTTGGAATGGGTTTTAAATTATGTAGCGTTAACGGTGCCTTATTTATTGATTCATGTTTTATGGGGTCGTAGGGAATGGATTCATTTGGTTGCATGTTTGTATTTGAATGTAATGTTTTTAGTTTTAACAATTTTTACATGTGAAATTTTATGTATATTCAAAAATAAGTTCTTACTGTGGTAAATTAAAAGCATTCTTGAGAGTTTTAGAACTGATGTAACACTGGCATTGCATACTTTGTGTTGGGTTGCACCATTTTGTTGAATGAATAGCATTAAAAACATTTATACTCTTGACTTTAACGACTTAAGTGGGTGCGAGTTTTATTTTTAAACTTAAAAATAGACTTTGTTACACTCAACTATGTTTTAATTGACAGTGGTATAATTTTCAGTACGGCTAAAGTGCAGAATCGCCCAATTTCCCCTTCAATACTTTAATTAAATTTCATAAGTCTTGATAGCTTCTTACTTGAAAAGAAAATTGAAATTCCTCTTTAGATGTAACCAGTTATGGTGTTGAAAATAATGGATAAATGGTATAAGTAAATTTGGTACTCTTCTGTTATCAGGGCCAGATTCACAAAAATTATATGTATGGTGGCTCGCACATATATGCACATGCATACATACATTCTGAATCTGGTCCCGATAACAGCAGAGTACCACAAGTTTTTTAGTTGGCTAATTTAATTTAAAGAGTTCTAAATTACTTAACATTATATTACACTTACTGGGACATGCTACTTAATTTTTTTATCTAGTGTTATAAAAGAATTAATGAAGTGTTTTATTTACATTATTAAGGTTTTAGTATGATTGAAGTATATAATGGACTAAGCTATTTTAAATCATGTGGGTAGATGTATTCTAAAATTTTGCTATTAAATATATCTGACTAACATTGAAATTACACGTATGGTTTATTTTTAATGTAAATTTAGATAAAAGTAAGTTTGGCATAACTTTTCTCTTCCAAATTAAGAAAATGATATGCTGCTGAAACTTTATAAAGGCAGTATCCGCATATATTGAATTTTTCCTCATTAAACTGACCAGTGTACTCTGCTGATAAAATTGCAAATTTAATTATTCGGCACAGCTTTAGTATTAGTCCTTTTTGGCAAGAAATTTGTTTGGCCACATTTTGGAGCGATAAATGAAAAATTATGATAACCTTGGTAACCCTAAATATTGAGCTTCAAACATGCCGCCATTTCTGTCCACGTAACTTTAACGAATTTGATAGGTATCAGAGCTTTGATGGCAGGAGGGATAAATTGTGTGTTTTTCTTAAAGTTACTTTTGTGGTTTAGAAAGCACAACATTTAAAATATTTTTTTTTTTTATAATTAAAAGTGGTGCTTTTAATATTACATCACATGAGTCTTGACATTTTTTCATATGTCAACTCTGCATATTATTATAAATGCCACCCCCTTCCTCAAGGGGAAAAAAAAACACATTTTCAGTAGCATGAGGTAAACTCTTGGTGTTTCCTTTGCTAAGGAAATCAAAATTACCATGGTCTAAAAATACTTGTATACCTCATATTAGAACTATAGGGATGTGTAATTGCATGAATTCATAGGTTCAAATCAGGTTTCATTATTGCTTTTATAACATTTTTTAATTTGACTAAAAAATATAATGGTGCCTAGATTGATGTATGTGGAATGTATTGCTTATAATTTACAGTTCTCAAATTTCGTAAATCTTACAACCTAACAGCTGTATATGAATAACCTTCACTGTATATGAATAACTTATTACTTTCATTAATAGTATGTTGACATAACAGTCGACTTTTTATTTTAAATTTTCTACATTACTCAAACATTTTATCTAACATAAAACTGAATTTTTTGTAATAAAAACTCTAATAAAAGTAAGAGTACAATTTATATATATGAAAGTTTGACTACATGGCAAGCACTTAGAACACTGATTTCAATGTCTTTAAATGTTAACTGTTATAAAGTTTAGATATATTCTTTGCATCATATAGTGTAACTATAACTTTAGGTAGACATTAAGCAAATTATCGCTACGTCTAAAGTAACAAATGAATCATGAGAATAGTGTACAAAGATCCTTTTTTAAAACTACTAAATAAGAAGAGCAAGGTACACTTTGTACTTACTACTCGGTCAACCACTTGTGGCAAGAATAACTTATGAATAACAATTAAGTTCAAATGTAAAATTTAAATTCAATAAAATTTTGTAGCCCAAAGGCTGCACAAATCAATTTAATGCACAGTTGGTTTAAAAACTTAACTGGCATGGAATTCAACTATCAGCAATTATAATGCAAGACTGAAGACTACAAATCTTTTCTTATCTAGCAACCTATTAATGTGGCCTCAAAAGGCAAAACACGGTTTGTTTTACAAAATAAAAACTTCATTTGGATTCTGGTGAGAAAACGGATGGAGGAAATTGACAGTGAAGATCCCAAGAATAAAATAACTCTGGTTACGAAATAAAGGAACATTACAATATACTTTGTTCTCTGATTAATTATTCAGTACATGAGATAGTGTAATGCATTTTTGTTTGCATCACATACAAATTATTTAGTTTATTTAAATGCTTTCCAAAACTGACAGGATTTTGCAAACATATTGACCATATTTTTTGACCTATAGATGCAACACTTCTTCTCTTCAGAAGTAAGATTTAGAATTAAGAAAATAAGAGAGAATTATGAATAGAAAATAAATACGTATGCTGCCTAGCAGAAAAAGGATGCCTTCATAAAGTACTTTTTAAGAGAAACTGGCTCAGATTCACATTACATCAGAAAACTACTAAAACTCTCATATAGCCAGCCTGAACTACCACTGTTCGGTGGCTATCACTCCACCACTAGTGGATTCCAATGACTGTTCGAATTTTTCACAGAAATCGTCATTTACGATGATTGTTGTATTATTACCATTGGTACAAAATTTACTCATTATGATAATTTAATTTTAGCTTTTAATTATGATCATAAATTACTTGTAATAAATTGAGGGATTAAAAAATACACATTTCTTAATATTTTTACCATTTACAATATTTAATCATAAAAGATATTTCTAACACTGGTATAAAACTTGCCCATTATAATTGAATTTGATTTCCTTCACTTTGAAATATTTTTTTTTTCTTTTAATAACAGAATCTAAGAAACTAAAGTAACATATACTAGTTTGAAATGCATTTATTAACCTTTTGTAAATTTCATTATTCATAAACATAAAAATTAACCTTTTGTAAATTTAAAATATTAGCTAAGTACTAATATAATAAAACATAAATATGAACTAACTACTTAAAATATTAATGTTTAATACATTATATTTTGTAATTAAAAATATTAACATTTTGTAAATTTCGTTACTCATAACATAATACTTGTCATAAATTCATTTACAGTAGTGTTTCAAGAATTTATTATAGCAGTACTAGAAATATTGAAAATTAGAGAAAGACTGTTTATTCTGATTAAGAGCTTATTTTTTAGGATTGTCATTTAGTCTAGATCGGGTTTTGTTGACAATCTGCCATTTTTTTCCGATCTTCAAAACCGGGTCTACCTTGGCGATCTAAGTTTGTCGCCAAAAGGACCAATACTAAAGCTGTTCCAATTATTCTGTTCGCAATTTACAAATTTCAGATGTTCTCAAGTACTTATGCAATGGCTCTTTTAATAAGGAAGCTTTTAAAATTTATCATTGATTTGTTAGTACATTGGAAAATGATTCCATTAAAAAATAGTGGGTGCTAATCATAAAAAAATGCTTTTTTTTATGATTTAAGACTGAAATGGCATTTAAAAGATTAACAAATTTAGTTGTAATTGGTGATGGCAAACATTTAAAGGTAAGAGTAACACAGGTAGAGAATTTATAATGCAAAACATTTTAATTTTTTAAATGCTTGTAGCAAAGTTAAATATCTGAGTTTCCATAAAATGTGAAAGCTGCACGATAAATGAAAAATTATAACCCTGAATACTTAGTTATACTGTCATTTCTGTCTACTTTATCGAATTTGGTAGGTATCAGCTTTGATGGCGGGAATGGTAAATTGCAAGTTTTACTTAAAGTTACTTTTGTGTAATATAAAAACAAAACTTTTAAAGTATCATGTTTAAAAAGCCAAAATTTGATAGTTAAAATTGATGCGTTTAATATTACATCACAGGCTTCCTGACATTTTTTTCAAATGTCAACTCTGCCATCTCACCCCCCCTCTCAAAAAAAGATTTTTAGTAGCATCAGTTAAACTCTTGGTGTTAACACATGAAAATTTATTCTTCTCACATGTTTCTTAAAATGGGCAGTGATCAAAATTACTATAGTCTAAAAATACTTTTTGCTTCATTTCTGATATTAGAACTGTAGGGATGTGTAATTGCATGAATTCATAGAGCAAAATCAGATTTTCATTATCGCTTTTATAACATTTTTTAATTTGACTAAAAAATATAATGGTGCCTAGATTGATGTATGTGGAATGTATTGCTTATAATTTACAGTTCTCAAATTTCGTAAATCTTACAATCTAATAGCTGTATATGAATAACCTTCATTGAGTATCATTACTTTTATTAATAGTATGTTGAAGTAACAGTCGACTTTTTATTTTAAATTCTATGCAAATTTTCTGCAAACATTTAATCTAATAGAAGTCTGAATTTTTTATAATAAGAGTACAGTTTATATATAAAAATTTGACTATGTGGCAAGTACTTAATTAATGATTTCAATGTCTTTAAATGTAAGTATTATAAAGTTTTAATGTATTCTTATTCAACTGTAAAGTTTAGATATATAGAACAGTCCACTTGTGGCAAGATAACTTATGATAACAATTTCAAATGAACTAGTAACCAATTACACAAATCAGTTTTAATCGAAGTTAGCTCAAAACGTAACCGGCATGGAATTCAATTATCTGCAATCATAGTGCAAGACTAAAGACTGCAAATCTTATCGTATCTAGAAACCTAGTAATGTGGCTTCGAAGGACAAAACACTGTTTGTTTTACCAACTATAAATCTCATTTGCATTCTGGTGGAATAATGGAGGGGGGGGAGAAGACAGTAAATATCTCGAACATAAAATAACTGGTTACAAAATAAAGGAACCTTACATTAATTACATTTTGTTCACTAATTCTTCACTATGTGAAACAGTGTAATGCATTTTTGTTTGCATCATACACAAATTATTTATTCTATTTAAATGCTGTCTAAAAAACTAAACAGGATTTTGTAATCACATTGATCATATTTTTTTACC